AAAACTAAAAATTAAATAAAATTTAATGTTAAAATTAAAATAAATAAAATGTAAAAAAATACAATTAAATGTAAATAAAATGAAATAAAATTGTAAAAAAAATAATAATAATAAAATAAAAACTAGATTATTTATATTTATAACAATACCCTTTCTCATTTCAAACTTACCGTAATGCCCCTATGATAATGATGGTGATGATGATTATTATTATTATTAGTATTGTTACTGTCATTATTATTATTATTATTATTATTATTATTATTATTATTATTATTATTATTATTATTATTATTTGACTGCATCATCCCCAACAGACCTTTTATTACAAACAATGGTCGAGTGGTTTATTTTTACCAGTGAAGTAGGGCAAAATTGAGGGAAAACATTGTTATATTTCATGAGACTGTAGACAAATTGGCTCATAGTGCACTTCTACATCTTTTCTGCTGAGTTCAGCGTCCTACACTAAGCATGGCAAAAATAACCTCAACGTTGAATCTCCATTTGGAGCTGCGCTGGTCTTTATCAATTGCTCCTCATTTCCTTCCCACACTTTATTTTTTCAGAAAAGTCTGCGTCTGCGAATGGAAGATGAACCTCAATATTCAAGCCTGCTCTGTCTCAACAGTTAATCCCCGTCTTTGTTAGGTAGATTTGGAGTTGAACGTGCAGGAAAGCTGCATCACACACAGTTTTCATCCAAGGGATAAATATGAGCTCCAAAAAGTTCCCCGAAGACTGTCTGGAGTCTAAAGCTCCCTGCTGAATACAGATGCTCTCACCTTTAACGTCACATACATCTGGATCCTGACACAAAGGTGGAGAGGTCTATTTGCAAAGCCTGCATTTTAATACACATGGATAACTCAAATCTGACCGGGGTGAAAGACTTGCCTTCATAATTTTGTATGTAAGGCTTTATTTTGATTTCCTTTTCTTCAGCATCTCTATAATACCTTTATATGTTGTTGCCATGATTAAGCTACTTATGGAATCAATAGTACTCAGTGTGTAAAAGCATAATGTGAGATATTTGTGATTTGTTGGGGTTTTTATTTGTCTCTGTTTTTATTGGAATGCCCTGGTCAACTGTCAGGATCACTTTAAGCAAGGCAATAATAAGTGTATTAATAGGCATGATGCATTTATCGAGTTGTATATAAATTGTATGCTAGTGGAAATTATTGAACAGCAGCGAACTTATGAACTCAGCAGTGTAAAGACACAACGCTGCACTTTCAAAGACTAAAGACAAAAAATAAAAAAGGTTTCCAGGGTAAATATACAAGTATTCTTAAAAGAAGACTTTCTCTTGACTCAAGATATTCGTTCTAATTCTTGAATTCTGAAAAAAAAGTAAAAAAATTAATAAAATAAAACTGTCAATGTGTCTACATACAAAGACAGACAGACAGACAGACAGACAGACAGACAGACAGACAGACAGACAGACAGACAGACAGACAGACGGAGGGACAGACTGAGATAAATCAATACATTTACTCCAAAAACTTTTTTCTCCTTTTATTAGAAAATTAATTATTTAATTATTATAACTGAAACATTGGTTGTGGGATTCATAAAACACAAATTAATGGACTTAATGGACTAATTGCAAATAATGCGAAAAAAAAATAAATAAATATAAATATTCTTAAAATAAGACTTTTACTTGACTCATGATATTCATTCTAATTCTTGATTTCTAAATCTGCTAATGTGACCAGAGAGATGGATGGATGATTGGATATATGATAAGTAGATAAATTAATACATTTACTCAAAATGGTAATATTTTTTTCCTGTAGAACATTACAGATTAGTAACCGTAACGTTGGTCTTTACTGATTTAGAAAATACAAATTAAAGGACTTTAATGCAAACTAACAGACACTTCAAGACCATAGACCGGCCAGCGTCCTACAGATTTTAGCTCCAACTTGCCTCAACACACCTGCAAAGATGTTTCTAGAAAGCCTAGTGAAAGCTTGATTAGACACCAGCCCTCCAGAACTGAGTTTGGGCACCCCTGTCATAGACCATTTTTCATTGTGAGTCCAGTGTTTATGTTAAGTAAATTAATTAATTACTAAATGAGGCGACACGGTAGCTCAGTGGTTAGCACTGTCGCCTTACAGCAAGAAGGTCGCTGGTTCAAGTTCTGGCTTGGCCAGTTGGCATTTCTGTGTGGAGTTGGCATGTTCTCCTTGTCTTTGCGTGGGTTGCTTTTTCAACCACAGTCCAAAGACATGTGCTATTGCCATTGCTTAATTTGTAAATTGTGAGGTCCCGGAACAGATCGGGGTAACAGACCCAGCATGTTACCAGAGGAGGCAAAGGTGTTGTGAATGAAAGTGAAGAGCGGGGTGGAGGGAGGGTAATGGTCGCGGACAGGGCCGGCGAGTACATAGAGGCGACCTAGGCGGCGGCGTAGGGCGGCAGTATAGAGAGGGCGGTGTCCACGACACCTCCCTTACTACCCGCAACCTCGGTTATGTCCGCGACACTTCCTTTACCACCCGTGTCCTCATATATATTCGCGCATAGACGACAGAATAGAGAGGGCGGGGTCAGCGACACCTCCATCAGCACCCGCATGTCCTCAGTTATATCTGTGCATAGGACGGCAGAATAAAGAGTGCAGAGTCCGCGACACCTCTCTCCCTCAGCACCCGCGCGTCCTCAGTTATATCCACGCATAGTGCGCCGGAAAAGAGGTCTGCGACACCTCACTTCATTTTCATAACCGGTCACTTTCGTTTTCACATTGGGGTTGAGGGCGGCGTGATCGTCCTCTGCCTAGAGCGGCAGTTCAGCTTGCTCCGGCCCTGGTCGCAGACGAAAGTGAAGAGGGTTGGGGAGTTGCGAAAGAAAGTAAAAAGCAGATCAAGGCGGGCAGGGGTGCATGTGAGAAGAAGGATCAGTAAAATGAGGTGCAGAATCAAATTTCAGAGCTGCCAGATCCGGCTGTTTGAACTTTCTTTCTTTCTTTCTTTCTTTCTTTCTTTCTTTCTTTCTTTCTTTCTTTCTTTCTTTCTTTCTTTCTTTCTTTCTTTCTTTCTTTCTTTCTTCAAATTTAATTTAATTTAAACAAATATGTTAACCTTGTTGCAGTTTGACAACAGTAGCAAACCTTTTTTTTCCTTTTAGACATCTCTTTTTATGGATGATGCATGTTACGATAGTCTCCAATAACACAAATGAAAGTAGTTTCCACATAATCACGGAAAATCCCAAAATAAAAGCTTACGCAGCAGCAGCAGGGCCGCTTTTCAGTCGTCGACTACCGTCTCGGTTTTCTCCCACTACGCTAAATGTTTATTCTGCTCTCGGAGCTCCCAGCTGGCATCAGGCAGAAATTATAGTTGTCTGCTGATGTGTCTGTACATGTCACTTCTGCTTTTACCACTCTACCTCTGTCCAATGTCTCGGTTAATGTTGATTGAAATATGGGCACTGTCTGTCTGCAAAACCACTTTGTGTCAACATGTCAATAGCCGCACAAGGAGAAATAAGTCAAAAAAAGGACCACATTGTCAAATCACACGGCGCACAGAGCTGAGCGCAACGGATCCGCCGGCCAGCCGCGAATTTGCAAAGGTTTTGACAAGGATTTCACGCAGCACATCTTATGTTTCAGAATTAATCCTGCTGCAAAATTATGGGTTCTTTTCATCCCGAACTCGCATTGCCATGGCTACAATGTTTAAGCCTGCAAGATGAGCAGAATGAGGTGTAAGAGAGAAAAAAGGAAGACAGTGCCAAGCTTTGATTCGCATGCCGTTTCAACTGCGATCAAACGGAGGAATCTAATCATAACAAAGGACAAAATCCATTTTGCCAGGGCTCATTGTGCTGTGAATGGAAAGAGGAGGGGGTTTGCTGAGTTATAACAAAGTGATGGGGTCTGATGCTTAATTAAAGTACAATTTAACAAATTCGAGATGAATATCTGCTGGCTAAGGAGGATTTGGGCCCTGAAAGCGAATCGTAGGCGAAGAAATGTGACAAAAAAATAATGTTTTTTTCTTGCTGAAAATATCTTGATTCACACATGAGTTTTAGAGGAATGCACATAGATATCATTACTGACAGCAGTTAAAGAAAATAGTTAGCTGTTATTGACCTGTCTGAGAGATGAGAGTGATATTTATAAGTCACTGTAAATTATTCAAACACACTTTGTTTGATACAGGAATGTGAGTTCCAGAAATGTGCACATAAAATATTCATTCTTAACCCATCTCTGAATTTTGTTTTCTACAAAAAAATTTGAAAGACATAAAACTGTATACTTAATTTAAAGTATGTTATAAGTAAATATATGCTGCATAAAACATATAGTGGATAAGTTGGCAATTTATTCTGCTGTGGCAACTCCTGATTAATAAAAGGACTAAGCTGAAAAGAAAATGAATGAATGAATATGTGAATCCCCTCAATCATGCACTTGTTAGTACAGTTTCCCCTCATCTGGCTGGCAAGAATCAAACATAATCTAAAGCACATGTAGAAGCCACAAATACTTTGCATGTTCATTTTAAAAAGCTGCACATGTTCAGTACACACATATTGTTCTAGGTTTTATAAATTGGCTGGTTTAGGGCTGTTATAAACAAACATTGGGCCAAAAAACAGCAGTAGTGACAGCAAGTTCCTGTCCTAATAAATGATTTATTAAACAAATAATTTAAATGATTCCGTCAAAATGCTGGATTTATGTTTCTTACTTTTCTGATTAACACCATAATGTGGCTCTGAAACTAACAAAACAAAATACAATGAAATAAACAAAACAAAACACAATACATAAAACAAAACAAAAGACAATTAATAAAATAAAATAAAATAAAATAAAATAAAATAAAATAAAATAAAATATGACTTTATTCCACACTTTTGTTACTACTTTCCTGAATGGGAATTTGCAGCTACATTTGCCTAAATGGTTCCATGATTTTTAATTTCTTTATCTTTGAAACCCCATGGTAACTCACCTTGTCATTCCCATACATGATCCATTCAGCTGGTGGATTGGAGCTAACACAACCAACACCACAGCAATGAGTGTACTGTAAAAAACAAAACAAACAAAGAAGCAAACAAAAACTTTAGAAAGTTTAGAAATCTTCTCAAGCTCAGTATGTAGGTCTTCTGTAGTTCATATCAATGCAGGCTGGACTTCCAATAAGTTTCCAAAAAGTTTATTCAGTACATTGAGGAATAACTAATTCACAATGTCACTGTTTTTACTCTGTTTTATTAAGCAAATAAGCCTCTAAGAGCATTCATACACTTACAGAAATAATTAATAAATGATAATGAGCAAATAAAAATACAATAATTATCAAAAAAAAAAAAACTTCAATCAACATCAAATGTTTGCATATTGGTTGCATATTACATGATATGTTTATTTAGAATTTTGTAAAATCAAGGTACAGTATCTACGGATGCAGCATATACCTTTCCTAGCTTTTAAACATTAAAGTGCTGCCTAAGGACGTAGTTTAGTTGACAGTTCAAAAAACCACACAGTCCAACACCACATAATAACATACAGCAGAATCTGCTCTAAACCAGAGACTTCAAACTCTGCAAGTACACCTTTGAGTACAGTACCAACACAGCATAATGACATACCACCTTCAGAAGAACAAATTCAATGCAGTCAGCAGAGCTTCAGGACAATACGCTAGCCTCGAAATTACAAACCCCGGCAAAGACACAATACACTCACTGCCATGCCATCATACTCAGAAAGAAAGAGTACCGAGAACTACTGCTGGTATAAGTGTAAAGAAAAGAAAGTTTCTATTTTATTATAATCCATAGAGTAGGAGATTACAAAAGAGAATTTGATCTTTTGGAGATTTTTATGAAATGCTGAAAAAAATGATATTCGCCACTCCGCTCTGTCAGTGAATGTTTGAAACTGCCACTTATCTCCCCAAAGTACACAGATACAGAGTTTCTCAACATTTTTGACACAAAAGTCTGTTTTTTTCAAATTGTTGATGACAAAATAATTCACAGATCTACAAATAGCTTTTTGATTATATATATATATATATATATATATATATATATATATATATATATATATATATATATATATATATATATATATATATATATATCATTCATTTATTAATTTTATTGTCGGCTTAGTCCCTTTATTAATATGGGGTCGCCACAGCGGAATGAACCGCCAACTTATCCAGCACATTTTTACGCAGTGGATGCTCTTCCAGTCGCAACCCATCTGCATATACTGCATAGACACACACAAACACACACACACAAACACACACGCACACACACACGCACAAACGCACACACACACACACACACACACACACACACACACACACACACACACACACACACACACACACACACACACACACACACACACACACACACACACACACACACACACACACACACACCAATTTCTGTTTAACGGAAAGAAGATTTTTTTTCAACACAATTTTAAACATAATAGTTTTAATAACACATTTCTAACAACTGATTATTTTATCTTCGCCATGGTGACAGTAAATAATATTTTACTAGATATTTATCAAGACACTTCTATACAGCTTAAAATGACATTTAAATGCTTACCTAGGTTAATTAGATTAACTAGGCAGGTTAGGGTAATTAGGCAAGTTATTGTATAATGATTGTATGTGCTGTTGATTATCGAAACAAAATATAGCTTAAAGGGGCTAATAATTTTGACCTTAATTTTTATTTAATTTTTTTTTTTTATAAAAGCTGCTTTTATTCTTTATTCTTCTAAATGAAACAAATAAGACTTTCTCAAGAAGAAAAAATATTGTCAGACATACTGTGAACAATTCCGTGCTCTGTTAAACATCATAAGGGAAATATTTAAAAGAAAAAAAACATAAATAAATAAATAAAAGGGGCTAATAATTCTGACAAATGAATCAACCCAGCAAAGAACAATAACCGGTTTTAAAGTTTACCACAGTTTGAAAAATGTAAGGTTTTAAAACCGCTAAAATTATACTGTTTCTGAGGTAAAGAAAATGTAAAGAAATATGTGTTTTTTTAAAACTAATGAAGACAACAGAAGTCAATGTTTTATTTAAACTATTAGCCTGAAATGTTTGCTGTTCCAAACTACTATATTTCCTAAAATAAAATATACTGTGTTCAATGGGGAAAAAATGTTTTGTGTTTTACCCAGACATTTAAAAAAAAACTTATTTTAAAGCAGCAGCCATAATACTGTGATACCATATAACCGTAATATTTTTATCCAAGGTTATCATCCGTCAGACACTTATACCGGCCCATGCCTAAACCCAATGCAACTCATTGAATTTAGCCATCCATAATGGTCACGGTCAAGACAATCCGTAAAATTCAAGTTGAGCATCGCAATAAGAAAAATGGATTTAACTGACTTCAAATGTGACGTAGTTTTTGTTAATTTTAATATGTCAGGGGAAAAAAAGAACATACCCAAGTAACAGGTAGGTGAAAAAAAAAACCTCTTGCTGATGCCATCTACACTTATTTAACCTGAAAGAAACGCAACACTGAAGTTGAAATGAGGGTGCGTTGATACCACCGCCACATTTGTGCTGCCAGGACAAGTGTCATTCAACTGCACTAGTCAAGCCAAGCCAATCTGAGGATGCTGGACTTCAGCCATGTGTACAGGTGTAGAAACAAGCAAAAAAAGAAAACAAAGCATAAAGGCACAACATTTCATTGGTAAGGTTTCTTTTTTTTATGTTTTTGTATGTTACAAACTTTTGTGCTAAACAAGTAACGTTTCTGATGATCAAGTAGTCACTTACAGCATTCATTATATGGCACAGTAGCACCAACTTGCACTAAATTCTAGGCTTATGCTAGTTTTGCTGAATAAAATCAGCAAACAAAGTAAATGAAAATGAAACATGACAACAAGATGCTGATGCCAGAAACGTGTATTATTGTGGGCTAAGTTTACAAGCGTATAAGTAACTTATAAGGGTGCCTGATAACAATAAAGTGCCTGCGCCTCAACGTGCATACTGTCCACCCTAAATTATTGAATATTGCAAATGTTATATACCATTTAGATGAGAAAGGTGGATATGCACACATATCAATGGTTCACATGAGCCATTCATAATGGAGACTCATTCATAATTGAATCGCTCCCTCTGTTAGAATGAGAAGTGAAAGCAAAAAAGGGGGTGTGTTTCAAGACACAGATTAGATCAAATTTAACAGGTAGGGAGGATAAAACATTTTCAGGCATACAAACACAAGCTCTTTGTCGGTAATGCCCATGCGATCACTTATCCATCGATATTGAAAAGTGATGCAAAATTATAATTTTTCGGAATAAAAAAAAAAATTAGCATACTGATCATCAGGAACACTCTTGATCATAGATATATGTATATATCATCGGAATGGCCAGTCCTCCACTGCATCTTGGTCCCACATTCATTTCAAAGGAGAGCTCCCATGTACTAAAATGGCAGCTCTATTAATGCATTCCTTCCAATAGACAACAACAGCGTAGATGTAATATGTAAATATCCATTAATTATTTACACACAAAAGGTTACAAATTATTATAAATTTCTTTCCACTGAATTAACTATTTTGAAGAAAGCTGGAAACCTGAAACCATTGACGTCCAAAGTAAAAAACAAACAAACAAACAAACAAACAAACATTTATTCATTAATTCATTGTCTTTTCAGCTTAGTCCCTTTATTAATCTGGGGTCGCCACAGCAGAATGAACCACCAACTAAACCAGCATATGTTTTACACAGCTGATGCCCTTCCAACTGCAACCCAACACTGGGAAACACCCATACACACTCATTCAGACACATAAACTATGGACAATTTAGTTCATTCAATTCACCTTGTCTTTGGGGGAAACCGGAGCACACGGAGGAAACCCACACGAACATGTGAAGAACATTCAAACTCCACACAGAAACGCCAACTGACCCAGCTGGGGGTCGAACCAGAGACCTTGCTGTTAGGTGATTGTGCCACCGTGCTGCCCAACAATAAAAACACATATACTATGGAAGTCAAGGGGTAGAGGTTTCCAGCTTTTTCAAAAGATCTGTTTTGTGTTAACCAAAAGAAAGAAAGACAAACAGGTTTGGAACAAGTCAAGAGTGAGTAAATGATGACATTTTCAGTTTTGGATGAACTACCCCTTTAAAAAAGGAATAATATAGCATGTATTCTAGTTCACTAAAATTATTCTAAAGGCCAAGAGTCACTTTGAAACAAAAATATGCTGCTAAATGTAAAACTAGATTAAATGAAACATCAGAACAGATTATAAAAACAAAAAGGAAGAAATTAACTAAAGGAGCCTTTAAAAAAAAAAAAAAAAAAGCACTCACATTTTGCCCTGAACCCTGGTTAATTTTTTGACTCTGCTATGAATGAATGCATTAAAGCGTAGAAGTTCAAGGCACACCTAATCAAAATGCTCTATCGGCTAGAAAATGGTAGAAATAAACAACAACATTAACAACACCAAATGACCCCAGAAGCTCAACCTACAACCTGGTATGTTTTGTTTGTAAGCATTTATGTTCGATTCAAAGTCACATACTATATATATAAGAAACAGAAAGCAAAGCAAAGAGAGTCGAGAATGTGACATTGGATGAACCGAAGCTGGTGGCTGCCTTGAGCAGCGGCGCACAGAATGTCGTTGCATAGACTCGAACGCTGAATCACACAGCCGTGCCCTCTTTCTGCCTCCTTCTATTTCACGTTTCTTTCCTTTTCTTTCTCCTCCTTTCAGCTCTGGCCTTCACTAGCCCACAGAAAGGCTAAGTCCTCAAAGGCTTAGTTCAAACAGACTGAGCTGTGGAGGTCTTAACTGCGCAAGACTTCCTTCTGAGGGGCCGGATTCCAAAAGGGCTGATTTCTGAGAGGAATTCTTTTTCTGGAGAGAAGCAGCAGCAGAAGAAGCAGAAGAAGAAGATGAAGTCTTAAGGCTGGTAAGTTCCAGGTGTTCGGGCCAAAAAGAGGTGTTAGAAATCTGGACAGGA